CCCACCAGCAGTCAATCGCAATGTCAATCGGCAGCAAACAGTCCGTGCGTCGAGCACGGATATAACACCAGGCATGAGGCAAGGCTGAAACAATCCAGGCAAACAGGAACAATCAGCCAGTTACTCTGACGATGGAATCGAGCGAATGTCGGAAACGTCAGTCTCAATATACTCCGGTCCATGTCCTCGTACCTTCTCCCTCGCCTTCTTGGGGGGACGATTAAAACGACAGCACGCTATGTCGCTTAATTCAAACCGTGCATACAAAGAACTGATTTTGTGTGCGAGGTAGTGGACTCCACACTCATCAATCAAATACACTACTCAGGCTTGCAACTTTAGGAGGCAAACAAATGAGCCGTTGGATTTATTGATTATGAGACTCGCTCTGCCTGGTTGCTTAGTCTCCTGCTCCATCAGCAGCCACACAGCGGCTACTAGTTAGATACAAAAAACATGACAGACAAAGACAAGGGAGACTGGAATAGCCACTTCTGGCTTATTAGCAGAAATCAACCAGCCATACCCAATCCCAAGTGGTGCCCCACCCCAGGGCTCGAAAATGCGAACTTTTCATCAGAAGTCTAAGGGCCTAACCAATTGAGCCGTTTTCAGTGTTAATGTAGGCAGGAGCAGACAAAGGCGAAAAAACGAAGAGTGCTTCTTACCTGAAGCATATCCAGAGCTAACTGACCGGCTGGAGGGAAGGTTGATTCAAGAGCCAGCAGCTGAAAGACCTAATAGAGGCAAGACAAAAAAGAAAGCTAAGCATAGGATAGACAGGAGCAATATTTACAAGTTAAAATACCGCAAATTAAGATTTGGACCATCTCCCATCAAGTCATAAGGCCATGAGTGAAATGAAACGCAACTGACGACAGATTTATTTGCCGCCTAGTAGCCGCCTATTTGACCACAGCGAATAAACCCTAGAAACCAACCGAAGATACTTAAACATCTTTTTATTTTTTCAATCGTCTGCGTAGCGCCGTTTTTTCGTTTTGTTTCACTTTTAGAGCCCACAGGGAGATGAATTGTGCGTTAGCCTAACTGCTGGCTCCCGACGAGCAGGAACTGTCAATAACTAAGCTTGCTTATCACCATTGTCTTATTGCTAGGTTCTTGAACAAACGTACTATAGAATATAATCTCGTATAAACAACCGAAACACTCTTAGGGACCTGCCTACAGTGAGTCTGTCTAAAAAAAACTTCATGAAAATATCCGATTTAATTATGTTCTTTGCTGAAGTGGAACCGACAAAGACAACGGAGACTAGAATGGCCATTTATGGCTTATTAGCCGTCATCAATCGGTCATACCTAATTCCAGGGGCGGCGACCCCCGAGGTTCGAACTCGTGACCTTTGGTAATTGGGTGCAACATTCTACCATTACACCATGACCCCTTGGTGCCAACCCGACGGCCACAATGCAGCGCATTCTTGAATTCCTCCATCGCTAGCAGCCACCGACCGCCGTCTACTTCATTAAATTCGTCGCAGACTTCGATTCAGTCTACCACGAGTCCCTGTGGTGTATAAATGGAAGTACACAGTATGCTGGTGCAGCCCGCCTCCATGATTGGCGTCCACTAAAGATAGACTACTGCGTGAGTTTCGGTCCACAGTAATCTTCCCCGTCCGTTCGATATGCCGTCTGGACGTAGAAAAGTTGTAAAATACGATCTGTGGGGGAAATCAATGAATCCGCAGATGAAGTGTAGCTTACAATATGTGTTGAGTTCGTCAGTGTGTGCGATTGGACGCAGTGCACAAGCCGACAGAAGTCACCCGCTTTGACTATGCTGGAGACTAGGAGTTCATCCAACATGGTCTAAAAATGCAAAACAGAATATCAGAGGAAAGGTAATCAGATTGGAATTTGTTTGAAGACAGAAGTGGTTAAATCCTATTCCTGCACAGAAAAGTTTACAGAGGCCACAGCAACAACATCCACTTTCTCCCATGGGGTCGGACAAACAAAAAAAGAAAGTAATTTAAAAAATTAGACCTAGACAAGAACGATAAATATAATAAGATTATTGTGCTCTAGACGGAGTTCGCGCGACGTGATCGAACGAAAGCCCCTGCACATTCAAACCGAAAATCGATCAACGAAAAGTACTAGAACGCAAATGGAATTTGGGTACGAGAAATAAGCTAAGTGGACAAGGTGGGTAGGATGTATACAAGCAAGTCCCACAGAAGAGTGTTGAATAAAATCGCATTTGAGTCTGATAAAAGACAAGGTAAGACTGTGATATTGGCAACTATAGTCTTTTGTGGGCACAAGTCCATCTTTTTCATCAGTGATCTAGGTGAGCTTTAGTATATTATATATCGTCCGGTCAGCGTGAAGTCCGTTTTTCTTTGACCTACCATTAATATATTGGGTAAGTTAGAAAATCGCTTGTTATTGTTATTCTTCAGTGCTGTTTGTGTGAACTAAGAACCAGCTCACGTGAGGTGCACGTAGACGGTCTGTTTCATTTTGTCAGTCAATGTATTCCTGCCCTCCCTCAGGAATTAATATTTTAATTCGAGTTGACCTAATTGTGAAAAAAAACTCGCGGCATTCGGCTGGATTTGAACCCGCATAGTAGAGAGGGCTTTTACGCGAAGCCAAAGCTCTCCCAGTTGAGCTGCAAATGCCACGCTTCACATCGTGAGTTTAGTCACGCTTGGATCGATTTTACCGGCCCAACTGCAAATCTGCCAAATCTCCTAAATAATTAATATTTTGTCTGGTCACCAAAACGTAATGTGTATGGGAGAAAAAAGGCGAGGGAGATGCCGCGCAAGTTCAGCCCACCAGAGACAGCGGTGGGCAGCATCGCCTGAGACGGACAAAAAAACCTATCACTAGAGGTCACAAAAAAGCCCAACAGGGTCGCTTTGGGGAGCCCTTGTGTGAAAGAAATTGTTTTCAGTTTTTTTAGCATCTTCGAAACCATACAGTAAACAGTAAAAAATAAATGCCAACTAACGTCTACAGGCAGCGAGTTCTCCTTCAGAACACGCATGTAGTCCAAAATAAGCTGCGAAAGGAGTCGCTGAACTGCGGGTTCCTACAAATAAACAAAACAACAGACAGGACATTGAACTCTAATTTAGGCTAAAAAATATCATGCAAAGTATCATTTAAGAATAGATAATCAACGGAAGGGAACACACGCCCCGATTATCAATAAAATAAGGAAGCATTTTACTTTATTCCTCCCCCTCCCTCGCTGGGAGCAGAAATGGGATAGAAATGATATAGAACGCCTGGTCTCCTGAGCGGTCCGCCGCGACAAGTCGATTCGATGTCGCATCCGTCGAAGTTCACCGTGTGCTTCAAAGTGCGATGGTGCGGAGACGGTGACTAGCGCGTGAATTAGTAGTAAGTGATAGTATACTTGCGTTGCGTCTACCGCACTCTTTATCTCTTCCTTCACCCACCTGTTCTCAGTGTCAAGGTAAAGTCAAGAAGACCGGAGGCGGGATCGGCGCAGGTGGCTGGCGCGGCCTGAGCCTGTATTTCCGCGTGTCACCTCCCTCACCCTATATGTACCATTGGTTGTGGAAGCGAATCCCAAATAACCTCTGCTGTGACCTGATCTAGCGCATCTACCATGCGGCCCATTTAGGTAGATAAGGTGATCTACCTAAATGGGTGATCTACATGGCGTAGGATAACGGACCTCTAGCTGCAATAGAGTCTTCGAGATGTTCGTACGACCGCAAGTACAACTTGCCAATGAAACCCAGAGACCGCAGGCAGTTAAAGAGGGCAATGTCCTTGCAAAAAAGTTAAAAAGCATGCAATCAAACAAGTCTGCGGCTTTAGGCGACCCGACCGTGAAATTTGAACGTCTTCCCCTCGGTTTACGGACACCTAAGAGGAGACCTGATGAAAACGTTTAGCATACTGCGGTGTCAGGACTGTTGCCTTGCATCCAAAGACGTTTTCGAACCAACTTGCGGTACCTCCTCCCAAGGTACGTG